TTGGTCCAACAGTTCCATGTCCTTCTTTAGGAAATGGATATTGTAAAAATTTACAGACTTTTGTTTCTTTCACATACAAATTTTATATATTTTAAATATAAATAATTTAGGTTAAAAATTGAAACAGAATTCCTTCAAGTCTCGTCCCAGAATTGGCAATTTTTATGTGGCAAATCGCTTCCAACCATTTACCTTAAATAAGTTTTCTTTCTAAGTACTGTAAATATCTTAAAATTTCATTTTGTTACAGTCGTCTAGAAAAAAGTTTCTTTGAAGTTTTGGGGTGGGTTTTTTTAGCATATTTCTCAAAACCTTTGTGAAACTTAAAAAAAATCCAATCATAGAATCATCAGGGTTGGAAGAGACCTTTAAGATCATCAGGTCCAACCATTAAAAGTGGAGATAGGCAGTGGAGCCATGATGTGCTCAGGCCAAGCTGAGTGAAGTGATGAGACCAGCATGAAGAGCTCAATACTTTTTTGCCTTTTTAATAGTAAGAAACGTGTTGCTTTATGTAATGCTGTTGGTTTGCTCCACAGACTGTTTTGCAGACCCTTTGTCACTAACCTCACCATGTGTGGACACAGTTTTTATTTCAGGCTGGACTTCACCTTGCTGCTGAGTTCCTATTAGACTTCTCCAGTCTAGCATGGCCAACTTTATTTTTCAGTGAATTTATAACCTTTCCAGAGTCAGGTGACAGAAGGGGAACAGCAGCTTTCTCATCGTGACAGCAGCCAAATACCTTTTCTTGGATCTTAAAAGCTCAGTGTGAGGCTGAGTTCTGCATCTGGGCTGTCACAGCATCAGCTACTCGTCAGTGCTGCATCCCACTCTCCAAGTAGATTCCTTTCCCCATGGTTTTCTGCAGGAGCATTTCGGGGCACGGTGAGGAATGCAGGGTGAATCCCATTTCCTACACAGCTCTAAATCCCATTGTCTTTTTTGTAGGGCCTGGGCTTGTATGCTGCTCGGGACATTGAAAAGCACACTATGGTCATTGAATACATCGGAACCATTATCCGCAATGAGGTTGCAAACAGGAAGGAGAAGCTCTATGAATCTCAGGTATGGCATTTCGGGGCACGGTGAGGAATGCAGGGTGAATCCCATTTCCTACACAGCTCTAAATCCCATTGTCTTTTTTGTAGGGCCTGGGCTTGTATGCTGCTCGGGACATTGAAAAGCACACTATGGTCATTGAATACATCGGAACCATTATCCGCAATGAGGTTGCAAACAGGAAGGAGAAGCTCTATGAATCTCAGGTATGGGTTTGTTCATTTTTTTTCCTTTCCCCCTTCAGACATTTGTACAACAAACCAAATGCTGTTCTGCCTGACAAATTCAGGTCCTCTGTTCTTCTGGTTCATGAATTCAGGTCTCCTGATTTGTTCTCTGCTGTGCTATAAATGCAGTAGGCTAAAAATATAAGCAGAGGAGTCTACAGTCTTTGTTATCAGAGTGTTTAAATGTTTGATAATCTCACAGCACCTTGGCCAGAGGGGGAGGACACATCCTCTGTCCCAGAGGACACACAGCCCTGGCAGAGCTGTCAGGGCCTGTGTTTAATGGGAACTTCTTAACATTTAAAGCAGCTTTCTTTGTGTAACTCAGTGGCCTAACAGTTAGTGCCTCTCTGTGAAGCACTCAAAGATTCCAGATGAAAGGCAGCATGGAAGTTGTTAGAGAAAAATGAACTGACCAGAGGTTTATGTTTATGACCCATGAGAGGATGGGCAGTATGTGACTTGTGCTTTCCCCCGTGAGCCAGTGGGCACTGTCTGATCTGGAGTGCAGGAGGGCACTTGGACCTGACCCACACTGTTGCTTCATCACTGCCAGTGAAGTAAAATCTGACAAGAGTCCTTGTCCTACTTGTGTTTTTCAGAACCGCGGGGTGTACATGTTCCGCATCGACAACGACCACGTCATCGACGCCACCCTGACGGGAGGCCCTGCAAGGTGGGTGGCTCTGGAGACACCCCTGACCCCTTCCTGGGGGTCACCCGTGTTCCCTGACCTCCTGCTGGGCTGTCACCTGTGTTCCCTGGCCTGGGCTGTTTGTGGGTTTTATTCTCTGAGCTGGTACATTCAGTCTTCGAACTGTTCCACTGAAATAATGACTTCTTTTTCATTAGCTTCGCTCATCTTTCAGTATGTTTCATGGCAGCCATGAAGAAAGAACTGAAATTTTTTTTAACACTTGATTTTTTTGACATTTTCTAGGTAAAGAAACAAGTACAGAGTAATGTAACTGTATGTGGAAAGGTGCTGAGCCCACGGAGCTAAGGCTATCCTGAGGTTTGGTTTAGATTTGCCTCAAGGGATGCATTTTCCTAAAAGGTTACATTTGTCTCACTCCTTTTCCATAGGTACATCAACCATTCGTGTGCACCCAACTGCGTGGCTGAGGTGGTAACTTTTGAGAGAGGACACAAAATCATCATTAGCTCCAGCAGGAGAATCCAGAAGGGGGAAGAGGTAAGGCAGGTTTTGGCTTTAAGCACCTCTTGCCATGTGCATTCGTTTCCAGATACTTCCCTGATTTCTAGCCAGTGGCACAACTTGTTTGTACTGGAGGAGGTGATGTTTTCCCTTCCTCTCTTTCCTTCAAAATTGTGCCAGTCCCTACCAGCACAACCTCTGGTGTGTTTTACTGGTTAACTTGTAGCTTACAGGGAAAGCTGTGCTAAATCCCAGTTGTTCCCTAACCATTCTCCTGCATCTCCTTCCAGCTTTGCTATGACTATAAGTTTGATTTTGAAGATGACCAGCACAAGATTCCATGTCACTGTGGAGCTGTAAACTGCCGAAAGTGGATGAACTAGAATGCATTCCTTGCTGTCTTTGAGGGTTGCTTGTCCCTAGGAAGAAGTGATTCACGTTTTGATTTTGTCGACGGAAAAATTGTTGCCTTTTTGAAGGGGAAGAAAAAAAAATAAATCACTTCTGGAAGTACAGATTTCTACACAAGTATTTAAAAAGAAAAAAAAAAAAAAGGATAACCCACACCCCAACAAGCACCAGAAACGGCCGGCAAAATCCGAAGCTGACCTTCCAGCCAAGGTGGAGGTGAAACTGAGTTAACAGAATGGTCCAGCACTTTTGTTTTTGAGCTCACTGAGGAGAAACTGTTGTAACTTGGGCAAAGAACCGCTGGCTGCCCTGCAGGAGGGCAGGTGGCCTCTATGAATGTAAGACTGAAATCACCAGCGAAAGGGAGAAGTCCAAAGTGCTGGCCACAGCCTTATTTGATAAAGGGGCAGGCCCTCTGATAAAGAAAAATTTTAAATAAAAGTAGACACCACTGAACAAGGAATGTACTGAAACGACTTCCTTAGGGATAGAGCTAAGGGAAAAAAATAACTTGCACTAAAATACATTTAAATACTTGATTCCATGAGTCAGTTTATTGTAGTTTTTGATTTCTGTAAAATAAGAGAACCTTTTTGTATTTATTATTGAATAAGTGAATGAAGCTATTTTTAAAAAGAAAGTTAGAAGAAAGCCAAGCTGCTGCTGTTACCTGCAGAACTAACAAACTCTGTTACTTTGTATAAAAGTGTAAATATTTTGAGAAAAAAAAAATACAGTATAAAAAATAGTTATTGACCAAATGCTACCAGACTCTGCAGCAGTTCGGGTGCTTATTCTCAAACGTCATAGGGATGTTACAATATGATCTCATGTACTAACAGACATGTGATTCCCAGTACGGAATAACCAAAATCTCCGTTTAAAGAGAGGGTTTTATGTTTCAAGCAGTCTCAACTGTGGTCTTACAACAATTTTTTTAAATAAACCTTAAGCCTGGTAAGGGCGTGTGTATATTACAACTCTGACTTTTGTAGATGTTTGGGTAACTTAGATTAATTTTATTTGTATTATATTGTTGCATCCCTATTTCTTAAGTCAGGTTTTTTTGTGCTTACAATTTGTGATAACTGTGAATAACTGCTAAAACCACCCAAAATAGAGGCTGGACATGGTTTTTGGGTTTTTTTTTTTTTCTTCAGCAAAAGCAGTCAAGATTAGGTGACTGTTCAGCCTACAGTAAATCATGTAAACAGCATAGAATCATATAGTTGGAGCTTCAGTCAGATGCGATAGCCTTCTTAAAAGGAAAACAAGGAAAAAAATTAGGTGTAATGTGCTTGCAGCTGCAGGACTCTGGCAATAGGGTTTTGGAAAATGTAATTTAAAGATGTGTTTGTATGGATTGTTTTTGTTTACATTTCTTTAAAAAAAAATAAACACTGTTTTGTGTTTGCTTGTAGAAATTTAATCAGCATTTTGAACCAGGTTAGCTTTTTATTTTGTACTTAAAATTCTGGTACTGACACTTCACAGGCTAAATATAAAAAAAAAATGAAGTTTTTTTTTTGTGTGCACAATTAAAGTGGACTGTAAACTGTTGGTATATTCAGTAATACAGTTCTGAACTTGTAATGTATATGGCATGATGTATTTTTATCTTACAGAATAAATCAATTGTATATATTTTTCTCTTGATAAATAGCTGTATGAAATTGTTTCTTGAATATTTTTCTTCTCTTGTACAATATTCCAACATCCTACCAGTATTTGTCCTACAGTTTTTTCTGTTCTGTATAATAGTATCTAATGTTGGCAAAAAAAATACAAAAACACCACAAAAAAAAGAATTTTTTGAAGTATACAGAGTGTTATGGGTTTTGGAATTTGTGGAAACAGATTTAGAAGATCAGCATTTACGAATAAAAATATTTTACATCTATAAAGTAGATCCTCCTGTTGTCATTTGAGGTGTCATTTTTGTTTCTTTCAGGATTTGTGTCTGCTTCCACCTGCAAGAAGCATCTGCCTTCTCCTGAGCTTTACACTGGACACCTTCCCGACACCATTCCCTGCAGTCATGCTTTTCCCTGAAAATGTACAAAAGATGGAAGATTTTGCTTTTGTGCTGGTTTTGGCTGGGATAGAGTTAATTGTCTTTGTTGCAGCTGGTGTGGTGCCTTCCTGCTCTGGATTTGGGATGGAAGAGAGTGTTGCTAACAGGGACATTCTGTTCCTGATGAGCAGAGCTCGCTGCGCCGGTGGCTGGGGATGGGCAAGGAGATGGGAGGGGACACGGCCGGCACAGCTGACCACAACTTGGAACTGTCTTCAGCTCAACCCACAGAGAACATTTCACCGTTCCCAGTCTTCCGCATCCTCCTGCAGGGGG